CGACTACGTCCCAGCGGGGAAACGCTTTGCGTGGGTTGAGTTTAAAAACCAAACATTGGGCCCGGCAGGCATGGCTCGGGGGGTGAGCATCGACCTATGAACCAGGAGGTCACAGTGCGATTCCCAGTCAGGGCGCAGGCCCAGGTGTGGGCTCCATTCCTAGTAGGGAGTGTGCAGGAGGCAGCCGATCCATGATTCTCTCTCATCGTTGATGTTTCTCTCTCTCTCTCCCTTCCTCTTGGAAATCAATAAAAAAATTAAAATTTAAAATAGAATAAACATATATTTAAAGGAAACAAACAGCCAAACAAAAAATCACTCGCCTGCATAGAATCAACGCAAACCAGTGAGGAGGAGGTCGGCGGGCGCGGCCCCGAGGTCTTACCTGTTGGCTTCGTCTTAAAAAGTCCCAGAGCCAGCAAGCGGGTCCGAGGCTGGGGGGCAACAGGGGGAGTCAGGTGTGGGGTTTGGTGCCTGGGGAGCGGGGGGTGCCTGGGGGGAGGTGCAGGGGAGGGGAGGTGAGAGGACAGGTCCTCTGTCCCGAGGTCTCCGTGGGAGCACGCTCAGAGCTGGGGTGGCACCCGGTGCCGTGGCTGCAGCGTCCACACCATCGGCCCCAGGTGCGTGGCCGCCTCCTAACAAGGGCTCCCCAGGCGGGTTCTGAGAACCAGCACCGCCCACCTGATCTCCTCGCCGACGCTGTGGTATCTCCACTCCATGGGCTCCGACAGCGGCTGCAGCAGATCTTCGTGGCACGAGAGAGCGAAGTCCACCTTCACGCGGGGGTAGGGGCTCGCCCTGCTGGCCTGTGGGTGGAGTCGGGCCGGATGGTGACCTGGTGCCACCTCAGGGCCCCACGCGGGCTGAGCGGGACTCTGTCCGCCACTGGGACGCACGTCAGAGCCGCAGCGGGCGACCCTCCCACCCACTGGACGGCCACGATCGGAGAGACCGACAGCACCGTGTCGGCGGGACGTGGAGGGGCGGAGCCCTCGTACGTGCACGGCCGGTGGGGATGCAGGAGGGGCGGGACGCCGGGCAGCTCCCCCAAAGGTAACCGTAGAAGGGCCCCGTGACCCAGCACTTCGCGCCCGGCCAGACACCGGGAGAAGCGGGAACTGCGTCCATGAGAACCGGGGCCTGTGCTCCCAGCCGCACGTTCGTCCTGGACAGAACGTGGGAACAGCCCACACGCCCGTCTATGGACGAGGGACAAACAGCGCGGCCCAGCCAAGCAATGGATGTCACTCGGCCAGCAAGAGGCACGGAGCCCCCACACGCTGCCACGTGGATGGAGCACAAAAGCATTCTGCTCCGTGGGAAGCCAGTCCCGGCACACGGGTGTGAGGAGGCAGCTGATCCACGATTCTCTCTCATCATGGATGTTTCTCTCTCCCTCTCTCTCTTCCTCTCTGAAATCAATACAAATAAATTTAAAAAAAGAAAAAAAGAAAAAAAGAAATAGGGGGTGGGAGCGGCCGGAGAGGTCAATGGGGGGAAAGGAGACTTATGTAACACTTTAAACAAGAAGGAATTTAAATTTAAAAAAAAGAGAAAAGTTCTAACACTGACTGTGGTGAGGCTGCATAGTATATGCAGGAATGTCCTAAAACCACAGAATCGCGCTGAGTCAGTGAACTGTGTGGTGTGGGAAAGACACATCAAGAAAGCTGTTGTTTAAAAAAAAAAGCCTCTGGGTCTCGGGCCAGCGCCCTGCCAGGTGCCCACGTACCGCCAGGTTCCGGGAGGACATCTCGGCCCTGTAGCTCCTGACGTCCTCCAGGTCCAGCGTGGCGGTGAGCACCTCCTGCGGGCGTGGAGGGGAGTGAGTGCCTCTCTCCCACGCGCCGGTCACTGCACCGAGGTAACAGGTGCGCCCACTGCACGGGGTGGAGCCCTGTGGCCCTGGACGGGCGGTCAGGCCGGGACCCGCCGTCGCTCACGCGGGCGTCCGCAGAACCAAGTGGGATCCTGGGCACAGTGGCATTCCCGCCCGTTTCGGGCAGTAACAGCCATCGCCCCTCTGGCTTCCCCACACGGAGCCGGACGACGCAGTCCCCGGACCTTCCCATCTGCTTCCTTCCCTCTAACCCGCCCCGATCGCTCCAGGTCCCCGACAGCCTCGGACTTACCCACACACGCCCGCCACATGCTACGGGGGCAGGGGACCAGGTCGCCCCCTCTCGTTACTACAGGGCCTCCTCCTCCCACAGCCACGCGGGGTCCCCGGGGGCAGAGCACCGACGGGGAAGGGACCCCGCAGCTCCCGCGCGGCTCTCACCACATCGTCCAGGGAGAACTGGGATCCCTGCGCGAACACGGCGCCGTTCATGGCGATCATGGCGCAGCCGTCGTAGTAGAGCCGGTCCCCGTCGCAGCCCTTCTGGTTGGCCAGCAGGTAGATGCCGCCT